CCCCCCCCCCCCCCCCTCCCCCCCTCCCTCCGGACGGGGGGTTATTGTTGTCGAACATGATTTGTGTATCTACAGTCTATCTGAGTCCATCAGATAGATTCGAAATGATTTTGAACTCATAATGTGCCTCGAGCATTTGTTTTTTTATTATATAATTTTTATCTGGAAATATTCTTATAGGATTCATCAGGTGTGGAACCAGTTTTGAAGTCATCATCTGCGTCGAACATTATGATCGTATGAGTTTGTATGTATATGTAATCTATATCTATCTATAATAATATAATAATCTCTAATAATGTCTAACAATCTATAATAATGATCCCAGGCTACCAGAGTGGCCCAGGACCACTTGCCCGGCCGGGGCAAAAAAAAAATAAAAAAATGGTAAAGAAGTTCGATGTGACCCTGAGGCAAAAGTGGTTCAGTTTATTTTTCTGCATAACATTTTTTTTTTCCAGATTTTTTCGTTTTTTTTTTTGCTGGGACGTTCTTTGGCCCTTGCACGGCCGGGCCGCCCGGGCAAAGGAGGTCACCCAGGCGGGCCGGCTGGTAGCCTACTAATAATCTGATTATTATAATAATATTTTTTTTTGTTTTGGCGGGGGGGTGGTAATGCATAATAATCTGTAAATATTTATATAATAATCTACAATAATCTAATAATTATAATAATTTACATTACATAATCTATAATACTCTGTGATAATCTTATCTGATTTCATCAGGATTCGAACCAACTTTTGAACTCATGACCCGAATCTGCCTCGACCATTATTATTATTATTATTATTATTATTATTATTATTGTATTATTTGTATAATTTTTAAAATCGATTTGATCTGATTCCATCAGGGTTCGACGACCCAATTACCTCGGAAGTCATGACTCTGATCTGCTCTTCAACGGGTGCATTGCATGTGTACTTCATTCTGTTAATTAGACTTAGTGTCTGCGCAATAAATGCTTTCCCTATTCGTCCGCATCTTATCCTCTCACCAATCTGTATTCTTATTCTTTTTTTTTAATATATATTATTATTCTTTCCCTCCCCCCTCCCCCTTTTTTTTTTTTTT